CTTCCTGTCTCCAGGTGTTTAACCTGCTGTTCCTCCTGGGCCTGGGACCCCCCCACCCCCACCCTCTTTGCCCTCTTCCTTCCCATTCTAGGCAACCCATGCAGACTTGGTTCATACATTGGCTGCCTCCTCCGTTACTTCCCTTTCCCCGGCTTCATGAGCTATCCATCTGTGCTGCCTCTGGGCGCCTGTCACATTTTATCACTCTATGCAAAGCCCTCCCCCCGGCCCCCACCCCCGACTTCTAGACCACTGCTGTTCTATAATACTAATAATGGTTAAATATTTTGATGGCTCACCACAGGTCCGATGTGTGCTGAGACCGCTACCGGGGTCATCTCAATTCATCTCTGTGACGCACCCTTGGGGAAGGCGCTGGAATTATTTTTAGTGGTACAAAGACAGTTTCAGACATTTGTCTCAGGCATGTTGCTCACTGAGGAGCAGGACCTAAACTTGAAGCCAGCCTGCCAGGGGTTTGTGGCATGGGGGAGGCGAGGAGAGGGGGGAGCGCGGCCATGGACCTCGAGAAACCCTTCCTACACAGGAAGTGTCATGTTTCCTTCCCGTTTTCTGGGGAGACCTTTTCAGAACCCCAAAATGTGAGTCTGATTTCCACAAAGCCCAGCGCCCTCCAGAGGCAGAAGGGCAGAGAGCAGGATGCAGGGGCTGGCACCCCAATTTGGGGCTGTCTCCAGTACTCAAGTCTTACCAGCCAGGCTCAGCTCTGCCTCTCTTTCTCCCTCTGTAAACCCAGGCTGAGGAGGAAGCTCTGATGCTGTAGGAACCTGCTGGTGGAGGGCTCCAAGGTTCTGTGTGTGTGTGTGTGTGTGTGTGTGTGTGTGTGTGTGTGTGTGTGTGTGCGCCCACACCCAGACTGGGACTTGAACTCAAGACCTAGGCCCTGTCTTTTAGGTTGTTTATGTTTTTTCCTCGAGGCTATAGAGTCTCTACCACACGAGCCACAGCTCCACTTCTGGCTTTTTTGGTGGTTAATTGGAGATAAGAGTCTCACGGGCTTTCCTTCCCCAGCCTAGCTTTGAACCTCGATCCTCAGCTCTTAGTCTCCTGAATAGCTAGGATTAACAGGCGCAAGGCACCGGCTTCTGGCCCTGAGGTTTTGGTAGGTAGGGACTAGATGCACACAAGGGAATCAGTACGGGGCCGGCCCGAGGCCTGGCATTTCGGAGCCTCCTTCCCCAGCACCTTTGCCTGGCAGCGTCTGTCTCGGTCCACCCCCTTTCTCACTGTGATCCTCCAGTCCCCACTCCCGGGCTCCTGCCCGAAGCCTCAGCCACAGGGCTCCCCTCTTACCCCTGTCCTCTTCCCAGCTGGGCACATTTCTCCAGCACCTTCACCAGAGGGAGCAGGGGTTCTGGCACCAAGGGAGGCCAAGGGAATTTGGGGAGTCGCCAGGTCTGGGCCTACATCCGCAGGACATAGTTGGAGATCCTCGGAAGGGAAGACCTGGATGCCCCACCCCACCCTTCATTCCTATGTACCTGCCTTGCCCCCCCCGCCCCCCAAGAATGGAGCCTCTGTTGCACATTCTTGCCTCCCCCTGGCTGCTACCGGTGGTTGAGAACTTTCTCTTGGGCGGGTGGGAAATAACATCCCCAACTTACTTTTTGGGGGTCCCTTCCTCTCCCACCCCTTCCCTCCCTTGTCTGACTCTCCTGACGGCCGTCTGTGCGCTCGGCCCCCTCAGCCTCACCATTGGACACCCATCCTCCCTTGTCCTCCTCACCTGCCACGCACCTGCAGACAGGATCCCGGACCCTCTCTTTTCCCTCCTCCATCTCCACTCCCTTCTTTCAGACCCTCTTCTGCCCCTTCTCTCTCCTCCCGCTCCCCCCCCATCCCCTTCCCCTAATCTCTTCACTCTGCTTTCATTTGGGAGGGTCTACCTAGAACACAGCAGCCTCTCCCATGTCGCTCAGCAGCGAACCCCTTCCTCCCTCCCCCACATCATCACCCTCAGCTCCACTGGGTTTGGCTGTGCAGGGCGGAGGTGGGGAGGGGTCCCCCAGGCCAGGCAGGGTGGGGGTGGCAGGCAGGGGGACAGGGACAGGAGGCGGGGCACGCGTGGCCACCCCTCCCATTCCACCGCAGCAGCGCCACCACAGCCGCGCCTTTGATCCATGGCCCGAGGCCGCCTGACAGTGGAAAATGCGGGGAGACAAAACCACTCAGTCAAAGTGATTCTCAACAACTGTCTCCCCGAGATAAGGACTCGCTCGGGCTCAGCGGCCTGCTTAATTCCGGCCTGCCCGGCCTGGGATCCGGGCATGGCAGCGAGCGGCCGCTGGGCGGGCCTCAGCACAGGCCTCTGTGCAGGTCTGCCTGGGGGCAGGGGGGGGGGACACCCAGGACCCAAAGTGTGACAGACCCCTTCATGCTACCAAGGGGCCCGGGCTGGGGCTGACAGCCCAGGGACAGCTACCCAAGGTCCTAGGGAGGAGAAACTTCCTCACCAGGCATGGAGGGGTGCCTTTCCTTCTTCTTTCATCAGGAATCCCCTCCCCACCAACGTGCTTTGCCCAGAACATTCCCACCCTCCCCTCTGCCCTTGTGCCATCCCTATTCACCCCTGGCTTCAGCTTCCGTCGGATCCCCAATGGGGTAGGGGGGCAAGGGTGAGCATAAGTCTTCCCAGACCCTGGTTCTTCCCCAGGGTAGTACCATTGTTTCTGAACTCTTTCTGGATACTTCTCTCTCTACCCCCTCTAAAGCAAAGTCCAGACTATCTGCTGTCCCATGTCCCCAGTGCAAAGCCTTGTAAGCAGTAGTGGTCTACAAGTGTATTCCCACACCAAGTGGACTTGGCTTGCCCGCCCCCCACCCCATCTTCAAGAACCTTCTATTAGGAAAAGCCACTAAGCAGACAACCCTGAGCCAGAGGCCTCTAGAGAGGAAAGGATGCTCTGGCGAACCTAGGGAGGCTCTGTGGCCCTGGTCTCCTCCATCAAGGGAACTTCTTTACTCAGGGCTTGGCTAACCTGGCAGGGTAGACAGGGCTTAAAGGCCAGGCTTTGCCCTCTGACCCTCGTCCACCAGCAAGTTGGGTTCCAAATGAAGATCGGGAGACACCGGAGATTCTATTGCCAAGTGAGGCCAAGAGAAAGCTCCAGCCATGGCCCCCGGTCCTATATGCTTCTCTTGTGGGTTTGTGAAGCATGGAAACAGCTTCGTGGGCAGGTGATTCCGCCCAGGATGGGGGTGGCAGGACCAGCGGTAGAAGGGGCATCCCCAAGGTCCCTCTGAGAGCAGGGGTGAATCTAGATGACCATTGGAGGATGGATCCTTCCCAGGGCAGGGAGACTCGAACCACCCCAGTGGCTCCCATCAGAAAGTCAGCTCTGGGCTGCCTTCACACCTGTTTCCAGGGAAGGCTTGGCATCTCAGAAGCACAGCACTAGCAAGCTCACCCAGGTATGAAGCTGGAGGCCCTGTTGAAGGCCTGTCTAGCCTTCACATGCCCGGGGACCCCTAGAGCCCCGACCACATCGGCGAGATGACCTCCTTTTTTTGAGAGTGAACTACCCTCCCCCGAAATTTCAGCTCTGGGCACCACCCTGGAAATAGCTAGGCATCCTTCACTGCCTGGATAGATGACAGTCAGTGGGGGGGGGGGGGTGGCTGTGACTCGAATCCTCTTCATCTCTGCCTCTGCATGGGCGATGTCACCAAGTCCTGAGAAATCAGGCATTCCACGTTGAAGCAGCCTCGTGGTGAGCCAGCACTGAGTGAGGGGTAGGAGGCCTCAACTCCTCAAACCCTGAGGACATCCGAATGGAGCTGGCCCAGGTCCAAATAAACGCGACCCTCACCAGACCAGGAGGGGGCCTCTGACCAGCAGCATAGAGGATTACCGTCCCACGAGAGCCCTGGCAAGTATCTTATCACAAAGGAGACATGTCCAGGCTGAAATTGAGACGTGAGGCCCAGGGGCAGAACTTCCCCAGCCTCCTCCCTAAGGGCTCCCTTCCCATCCAGGCCGCAGACAATCCCGTCCCTGGCCTGAGAGCTCCAGCCAACTACGTTCACACTGCTGAGGCCTCTGGGGTAGAGCCACTCTTGTCTTTAACCCCCGCCCCCAAAAGTAGAGTTGGTAGTCCAGTGCTGTTTACAATGACAGCAGTGATACCCTGGTTGCTCAGAACCTGGCAGCTGACCCCTTTGCCCAGCCTGGTTGTGGTTCGGTGCTCACAATCATCTTGCCCACTTTGCAGAGTCAGAGGTAAAGTTCAAGGTCATCAGTGTAGGACAAGGTCAGGATCCAGTACCTAGGTCCTGCCAGGGACTGGATGTTCCCTCTACTGTGGACTGCCATGTGGGAGGGACAAGATCAGACCCTCTGGGTCTGTTCTGCACGCTAGCAAGATGCCCAGGCACACCAGAGACCAGTGGCTCACACCTGTCATCCTAGCTACTCAGGAAGCTGAGATCTGAGCTTCGTGGTTCAAAGCCAGTGGGTACAGAGAAGTCTGTGAGCCTCTTGTTTACAATTAACCAGCAAAAAGCTGGGAAGTGGAGATGTGTCTCAAGTTGTAGCAGCACCAAACCTATGCAAAACTGGGTGGCTACTCCTGTCCTTTCTCCTCCCAGATCTCAGGTGCCCCCTGAGCTACTTTCAGGGACTGAGAATGGACTCCCCTGCCCTGGGTAGCAGAGAAAAGAGAAAGGAAGTAGCCTAGAAGGATCCAGAGAGTCCCTAGATGCAAGCATGAAAAGATAGGGGATGACAGGCTCCTGCAGCTTTCCTCCAGGTCCGCGCTAGCCAGCAGCTGGACCAGCTGGTTGGCTCCTTGGCATAGTCAGCTCCCAGGCTGACTTCGGGAAGGAGGCACACGGGCGGGGGGCGGGTGTATGCAGAGGGGGCAGAAGGGAATACACAGACTGACGGATAGAGAGTAGAGAGCCAGGATACACAATGCTGGCTGAAGCACTACCCACAGAGATGCAAGGGAAAGGAAGGGAGAGAGGGTGCAGACCCGGAGAGAGGAAATGCAGTGCACGCGGGAACCCATGGGCACATGGACAGGGGTAAGGGCAGTGGGAGAATCAGAGAGGACACAGAAGGCAGGAAGACAGAAGCAAGGCTTGAAGTGAGTCCGAGTGGAACTGGAGGCAGGAACCTGCAGCTGAAGGCAGCCAGAGCAGAGGGCTCAGGTGCAGAGAGGGGCTGGAGGGCTCCTAGAGGAAGGACGCTGCAGCCAGATAGCCCAGATTGGAATTCCAGTCCCACCAGCTCTCAGCCACATGGGCTTGGTCTGTCTGTTCCTCCCCAGAAGCAGTAGGGGTGGATGGCCCCTTTGTCCCCCAGTGATATGGTAACCTCCCAAAGCCGGCTTCTTTCCATGGTCCCTGAAAAGCCCCCTCCTACCCACTGTCCAGGTCTGTCTGTCTGTCTGTAGAAGGTGGCTTTTCCCATGCTTCCTGGGTCTGAACCCCAGATGCTCTGGCCTCCTGGCGTGGCAATAGTTGGTCCCTGAGCCCCCACTCCCCACACCAGTTTCCCCCACCGCCAGCTTGAGGTGAAAAGTCTTGCCCTGTGGCCAAGTGTTTCGCTTTAGTTCCAGATGCCACCCTGACAGGTGCTCTCTTGTGATTAATGTCCCCAACCGTAGCCCTGGGACTGGCTCCTCCTCCCCTCCCCCTTCTCTTCCTCTTCCTCCTCTTCTTCCTCCTGCCCAGGCCTTCCAAAAGTCTCCTCCTGGCCCACTCTCTTTCTGAACCTGTCCTGGCCATCTCAGCTGGCCAAGCTGTGTGCTTCCTTCCAGCCTCTGTCTTCCTGGCTAGGTGATGCATTGACAGTCAGTCAAGTGCCCGGAGCCCCATGGGGCAAAGCAGAGAGGCTGCTGGGACATCAGAGGCCCCAGACAGCCCCAAGAACAGAGCCCTATGGGTCTGGGGTACAGAACACTTCTGGCTGGGCCAGAGACTCAGAGAGAGGATGCTGACAACCGCCACATTTACACATGGGACTTTCAGGTCCTGTGAAGGAGGGAGGGGAAAGGGGGAGTGGATGGCTGGGAATAGAACAGTGATTAAGAGCCTTGGCTGCTTGGGGCTGTGTGTGTGTGCTATTGGAGTTGGGGGACCATGGCTGGAGTCAGCACTGGCCACACTGGAGAGTACTGTTTGAATGGGATCCGTGGTTGACCAGCTGTGTACTCTTAGCCGGGTGACGTGAGCTCCCTCTGCCTCCTCATCCGTCACAGGTGGACGACAGTGGCTACTGCCTCCCGGTTACCTCTGGGAGTCAAGCGTTCACACACCTAAGATACTTAGAACAGGCCCCAGCCACGATCGTATTAAAGGGATGTTTTAGCAAGGATGGTGAATGGGAATGGTGGCATTGGGGGAGGGGAACCAGCTCCAGGTGGGGGGTGGGCAGGGTGGATTTCACGGGGTATAGGAGGGAGGGAGGATGCTTCGCTGGTTCCTTCCCCACTCTGCCCAACCCTTTTCTCACACAACCAGTGGCATCGCCTTCCGGGGCCCCGCGGTGCCAGCCAAGGAGCTGAGCTGCCTCTATCTCCTCCCGCATCTCTGTGCGGCCGGGGACAGAGCGGCAGCACCAGCAGCAGCAGCAGCTTCTTGCTTCTTGTTTGTTTGCTACGTCAGCCCCACGGGCACCCTTTTTTTTTTTGCTAATTTTGTAGCTGCCTTTATCAAATGGGGATTCACAGGCGCTTTATCCTTGATAAGTGGATTAGTCGGTGAGCTAAACAAGAAGGTGCGGGATGAGGGGCCTCCGCTCCAGAGAAGATATTTGTTTCTGGAAGAATGGAGCCTGCGTTCTGTGCCCTGTGCGGGGAAGGAGTGGGGGGGGGGGGGCAGGGAAGGCTGGAAGTAAGCAGAGCGTGGAAGTAGCTGGAAGGATCTGGAAGGATCATCTGTGCTGCTGCTTCCAGGAGCTGGAGGCCAGAACCTGGGCAACTTTCTGCAGAACAATGGGAGAGCAGGAGGGAGCCTGGGTGCTGGGGCAGGGGGCGGGGAATCCCTTTCGGGAAAGGGGGTGATAGAAACCTGTATTGAATCCAGGCACATGGCAAACCTGGGCTGGCTTTGAGTTGGCATCACTTACCTGCGCTGCCTTTGTCTTCTCTTTTCCCCCTACCTCTCTTTTCCTTCCAGCCTTCTCTTCCACCCCATCTGCCCTTCTGAGCCCCTCCAAGGATCCGTACTGTGGTCTCTGAGGAGTGGCCACCTGGTGGGCAGGGAACTGTCCAGCTTCTCTTCCTGTCACCCCCAATGTGTGTCCCCCAAGGCCCCAGTGGGTTATCACAGGGAGTTGCATGTAGTCTTTAAAATGTACGTGTTACTCTCCTTGCTAGGATGAAACCGTACATGTGGGTGACCATAATACCTGACTGTGGATGCTCTCCCCCAGGAAGTTGTGCCATGGTGATCTTGAGGGTCAAGGGACCAAGGGAGGAAGTGAAGGCGACGGAGACGTACGGAGTCCTAGAAACAGGAAATACAAGGAATACTTGGCTCTTGCTGAGGGGCAGGGGGGGTGTGTCCAAGCCAGCAGGTGACCACAAGGGTCATGCTGGGTAGAGGTCAAGGCCAAGATTGGGATTCCAAAGCATCTCTCTGCAGAGTGCTAGAGACAGAACCAGATGCTTCAGGGAGAAAGAAGAGAAAGAGGCCCGAAGGATGCTGGGGTAGATGTTCTTCCTTCATGGCTGGTGGAGAAAGTGAGGGTGGGAAGGGACACCCCGATGCTCTCTTTTTCATGCGAGTAACCGGGATCTTGAGGTTCCCGTCCCAGGAGCAGGAGGAGTCTGGCAGAGCAGGGTGGGCGAGGAGAGCAGGGGTTGTGAGAGGGAAAGAAACGGTTGGAGCAGCACGCCACCAGTCCTCAGCTGGCCCTTTGCCGCGCTGTCCTCCCCACGCTGCCTCCAGCTGAGTGTGATTTTGCTATTTATTTACATGTAATTATTGCTATGAGGTGCAGATATTAACGCTGTCAAGAGCAATTTGCTCTGACATTTTTCACTCGCTCCGTGCCCCCCGCCACTCTCGACGGCGCCCAGGGCTCTCCAGGCTCAACGGCTGCACACTCAGTGGCCCCGGCCCTGGGAACCACCCAGCCGGTAAGGAGTGGTGCCGGTAAGCTCGCCCGATCTTCTGCAAACTCATTAAGCTTTGAAATTGAATTTGGTCTAGGAGAGGGTGGGTTGCCCCCCTCCGCCACCGCCGCCCACTCCGCTGGCCAGGCTGGCTCCGGGCCTCCATGGGCTCTGACTTCCAGAAGAGATAACCAGACAAGGCCTGAGCTGGCCAGGGCCAAGGCTGGCAGAGGGCAACAGAGGAGACAGCTGGTGGAGATGGGGAGGGCCACTGTCAGGGACGGGGGATGTAGAACGCCACGCGGGCGCCGCCCAAGATGGCAGCTCAGCTTCTCCTCCCTGGGTATGGCACGGGAAAACTCAACAGCCCTAAGCTGGAGGGATGGTACGTACGTATGTGATAGTGGTGCCCAATTCATGAAGAGACTTTCACACGGAACCAGTCCAGCCGTACACCCAGTGGCCTTTCAGAGCACTCCACCATGCATGGGCACCTGGGGAAAGGTGTGGGGCGGGTAGATGCTAGAAACAGTCAACTCTCTTGTCTCTCCGCTTATACCTTGTGAGCTCAGACCCCTGCCCTTTGACCATTTATCCTTATGATACTGGTACCTTACTGGATCTAAGATGATCCAGCCTGGCTCTTTTTTGGACCTTATAGGAAGATGTCTGCAGGAGCCTCTTTATAGGACCACAGTTACCTGGCCATGGTGGGGTGGCCAATGGAGGAAATGTGTATCAGAAAGACACCGGGGAAAAAAGTGTCTGGAGTCTGTCATTCCTATGATACACAATACCAACAAAAGTAAAACCACTGGTTTTATTTGGATGGATGGATGGATGGATGGATGGATGGATGGATGGATGGATGGATGGATGGATGGGTGGATTTAAGTGTCAGTCCCAGGGCTTGAACTCAGGGCCTATATCCAAGCTTTTTTCTTTTGCTCAAGGCTAGCGCTCTACCACCTGTGTCACAGCTCCACTTCCAGCTTTTTGCTTGTTCCTTGGAAAGAAGAGTCTCACAGACTTTCCTACCCAAACTGGCTTCAAACTGTGATCCTCAGATCTCAGGCTCTTGAGTAGCTAGGATGACAGATGTGTGTTACCAACCCCCAGCTTGGGCCGCTGAGGCTGGTTCATCCACTCAGTTCACAGCAGGGATTTGATCCTCTGAGTGGGGCGTCAGCCAGCCATCATGGCTGTGGATCCCTAACGCGCTGTGATCAGTGCCAGCTTGCCTGCCCAGGTACTAACGAGGTTTCCCTGTCACCGCTCAGCCCCTGCCACCATCAATCTGTCTATTTGTCTCTGGCAATTAGGGAGGGGGGAACCTCCCTCCCCGTGCTGGGGCAGGGTGGGGGAGGCCCAGTGTGTGGGCCTCCAGTCCTCTAGAATCAAGGAGGCCCCTTCTCTCCCCTGCCTCCCCTCTTTTCCCTCTCCCCCTTCCCTCCCCTCCCCTCAGCTGAGCCAATTAGGCCCCTGACACCTGGAGCTGCTGACAAACTGTTTCTGTCACTTGCTTTCTGTCTTTCATTAGGGCCTGGGAGGAGGGGGAGTGGGGAAAGGGAGGAGGAGGGAGATGGGATCTTTCATGCTTAGCAAGGCCAGATACATTAATTACAAAACGGCCATTTGCGCGTGAAAGTGTGCTAATTAAATTTATGCAATCATTATCTTTAAATAGTCCTATCTTTCTCAGCGATCGGGGGTGGCGGGGGCCTTCCTTCCCCAGCCCGCTACTGCTCCCAGCAGAGCTGGTCTAATCCCCGGGCCTGCCATTTATCACCCCATCAGAGATGGTCTCTGAAACTCTCACTGAGCCCCTTCCAGTCCCAGCCCCCGCCCCTTCAGGGGCCAGGAACCAGGGGACCCAACCAGGCTTGGATAGATTGGAGCTGCCGACATCTCCAGCTAGGGTTTCAGATAACTTTAGATGTGTCCAGATATTTGGAGGGTGACATATTGTCAGCCAGACATGGGGTGTGTTGTGTGTGTGTGTGTGTGTGTGTGTGTGTGTGTGTGTGTGTGACTTCATTCACAAGTAGGAAGTCACAAACGCACAAACTCTGCCTCTAGAGTAGCAAAAAGCCTCAGTGGGGAGGAGGGGCTCCTGGAAATCCTGCAGGTTGGGGCATGGACTGAGCATACTATAAGTTCTTGATTTATTTCGTTCAATCAATTTGATCCCAGGCTCTGGGCTACAGATAAAACACCAGTTCATCCATTCCTTCATGAGCTGGCTCACCGTGAACATCTGTTCTCCTACTCAGTGTCAGGCATGGGAGTAAGACAGCACTCCCTCGCCCCTCCCGCACACATAGCTCCTAGCAAAACCCAGGACGTCTTGTCCTCAGGAGGCGGGGGGGGGGGGGGGGGAAGGGGAGGGGGGAAGAAAGGATGTGTGTGTATGTGAGCACATGCATGTGTGCAAGTTTCAGATGCATGGAATGGCACAAAGGCAGCGGGCCAGCCAGGGCCCAGGCTGAGGGGTTGGACTACAAGAGGGCTGAAGTTTTCCTGTGGGTAAGGTTGGTTCCCAATGGGCCCACAGCATCTCTGGCCTAAGTCTTCCGGCATCTCTTCTCCATTCCAGAAGGTTCTGACTCCAGTCTTACCTGGATCCCTTCTGCTGTAGTTTTGCAACTGTCCTGTCCCCAACCCTCCTCCTTCCTGTCCCTCCCTCAGTGTGTTCTGCACATGGGTAATGAGAGCCGCAGCTGGGCTGGTGACAGGACACAGCGTTGTTCCAGTGTCCCCATCAGCCCCAGCTGCTGAGGCCTCACCTCCGCCTGTGTGCTTAAGGTGGTCCCCAGAGGAATATGCAGGACACGGACCTCCTTGTACAAAGTCACATGCACACTCAGAGCTCCATGGACATGCGTGTGTGGCACAGTGCACACATATGCACACGCATCGTAGCCACGTACAATAGTACACAGTACCCACACACAGGCATGCACACGTGGCACTCACATGTGTGCACGCGGGCATACACTCTGATGTGTACAGAGCAAGAGTGTTGGGCTGGAAGGCAGGAGTTCTGTTCCAAGCTGGGTGCCGGTGGCTTCCGCCTGTAGTTCTAGCTTCCCAGGAGGCTGAGATCGGAGGATCAACATTCCAAGCCATCCCAGGTAGCAAAGCTCATGAGACTCTCCGTAACCACCAAAAAGCCAGAAGCAAAGCTGTGGCTCAAGTGGTAGAGCACCAGCCTTGCTTGAGCAAAAAAGTGAAGGGACACAGCCCAGGCTCTGAGTTCAAGTCTCAGTCCCAGGAAGGATTAAAAAAAAAGTTCTACGGTAGTCCAATCCTGCCACTCCTCTGCTTTGTGATTCCAGGTGAGGTCCTGAGCCTCAGTGTCCTCCTCTGGAGGGCAGAAGCAAAGGGTAAGGTGCTAGGTTCCTTCAAGAGGATGACGGCCGGCCGCCAGGCTTAGCAGAGCCTTCCTGGCAGGCTGGGGTGGCAGGGGAGAGGGGGGCTAGCTACTTGGGGGGGGGATGGAGTGGAGGAGGAGTTAGGGAGTAAAGGCCATAAACAGAGATGGCTGTGAAGGGGGGTGGTGAAGATGGGGAGACCTGCAGGAAATCTTGTTTGGAAGCTTCCAGAGTCAGCACCCGAAGCCCATTACCGCTGTCCACAGGGGGCAGAGAAAGGGGTAGGGGGGGCAGATCCTCTTAGCGGAGAATTGAGGTGGAGAGGGGGGCAGCACTGGCTGGCTGGCTGCCCGCTTCGTGATTTCTCACTTCTGCTAATCCCAGTGTGGAGCTGGGCACAGGCCGTGTGTGTGTGTGTGTGTGTGTGTGTGTGTGTGTGTGTGCACACACGTAGGCATGCCTGCATTCGGGCTTATGTCTAGGTGAGCCGGCGAATGTGGAATAGTACAGGCATTCTTTGTATGTGTGTGTTCGCTCTGTCTACACCACGCTGTGTGCGGCCCATGGCTTTGTGTGTATGACGGTGGCTGTGTCGTTGTGTCGTGGAGTCTGTGTGCGGCGATGGCGGGGATGGGGTGCGAACTCTGGGTCTCACGCTTGGCTGCCCACTGAACTCCACAGGGAGATTTTTCTCTTTCATTTTCGTTTTTTTTTTTTTTTTTTTCTGGCTAATTGGAGATAAGAGTCTCCTGGACTTTCCTGCCCTGGCTGACGTTGAACTGCGATCCTCACATTTCAGCCTCCTGGGGCATGAGCCACCAGTGCCCAACCTATGGGAGCTTTTAACACCTCTCAACCCCCAGGCCTCCAGGGGATTCCAGCAGACAGAGGGGGAGGCCAAGGCCTGGGGAGGGGAGGACCGGCCCTGGCCCCTGCCCCCACTTACCCTGCCTGGACAGAGACAGACTCGAGGTCCCAGGCCCCTCAGCACCCAAAGGCCAGCCGTGAGCCAGCCTGTCCTGGCCACCCAGGCCCAAGACGGCTCTTGGCCCATGAGACTTTTTCATGCATTTCCCACAAACATTGCAGCATGGCTCCTGGCAAGTGGTTTTCTGACCACGAGAACAGGCTGCCCCCCAGTGCTTCACCTCCCGTCACCAGTGGAGCAGGTGAAGGAGTGAGGTAGGAGCAGGGCTGGAGGAGGGTGGGAGGCTTGAAGGAAATCACACTCTGGGCCCACGCCATCAGGTCCCCAGCTAGAGACCGAGACAGGGGACAGGGTGTGTGTGCGTGTGTGTGTGTGTGTGTGTGTGTGTGTGCGCGCGCGCGCGCATGCGGCATATGGAGCTGAATTTGATGAATTTAGCCAAAGGAGCTGTGCAGAGGTGCTGCTGGCTCATTGGGATCTGGAGGAAAAGCTGTTCGGTCATCAGGACTCTCATCCTGGAGTCCGTGAGTCCTGTAAGACATGAGGTGTTGCATGTACAGATGCCAGAAGGGAGCCGCCCACCCCCAAACCCTGGCCACCTCCTCTCCATCACTGAACACATTCAGGACAGAGGAGGTGGGACTGTTCCAAGTGCCCGGCACCCGACCCCTTTCCACTGTGCACCCCAACTTCCCTGGGGGGTGGGAGGAGGGAGGGCAGAGCCAGACTTCCCCCCAGGGGTGGGGGAGGAGATGAGAAAGGCATCAACCATCCTGGAGGAGTTCCTGGGCCTTCCCTCTAGTGCTTGCTTCCGGCGCAGGCCACCCCTGAGCCTTCTTCCCCCTCTGCTCCCATCTCAGCCAGCAGGAGAGAGACACGAGGCCAGTGAGCTCTCTTTTGAGCTGGCTCTAGGTACCAATTGCTTTCATCCTCCCCTGGCCTTCTTGGGTGGCAACAGTCAGCACCATTCCCATTATACAGACAGGAAGACTGGGCCCAGAAGGTTAAAGACAATGCCCAGGGCCAGTCACTCAGGGACAGGGCACCCTGCAGAAACAACGCCGAGGCTCCCCACATATACACAGCACCCGCCAGCCAAAAGCCCTGAGTGAGCCTCAAAGCCCCCCCCCCCTGGCAGGACAGAGAAGGGACCCATGCACATCCAGTTCCCAGAGCCCTTGTTCCGATGCCAGGGCCCGAGCCCCTTCCAGCCTTACCAGTCTTCAGGCCCTGTGCCCTCCCCTCTCTCCTGCCGCAACCCCACCCACTACGCAGGCTCTGCCAGGGAGCCGGCACCGTGGCCCTTCTAATTGTATCCAAGCTCGCAAGCCGCGGTTAAGTTATCACAGAGGGTGCAGGCCTCCGAGCCCAGCCTCCTCGGTCCCGGGCCCTCAGGGCCAGCTCAAGAACGGAGGGAATTAATTACATTTTTTCCCCATCCCCTTCTTTTAAAGTAAAGGAGTGCACGGAGGCTTGCGCAGTCCTGGGGGAGGAGAGGGCAGAGGCTGGAAGGGGAGGGAGCCTCTCTGCCACCCCCCCCCCAAAAGCAGCAGGCCTCTCCCCAGGGGCGGAAGGGGGGCCAGGCTGGCTCCTTATTGATTTAGTCTGGTCTAGGCTGCGACTCATTTGGAGCAAGGGGGTGAGGGGTGGGGGGGGAGAGGAAGGTAGGACTGTCAGTCAGCCTGATGGACAGCCCTTGAGATTTGCCTTCAGATAAAACCTTACAGATGTGGAGGTCGGTATTGATTTTGAGTTAGTAATGGTAACGTACCAAGAAGTAATACATTAGTAAAACCAAGGTCACCGGGAAAACGTAAGCCCCGCCCCGCCCCCACCCCCCATCCCGGGAGAGGCCTAGAGCATTCTTGAGGGAGTGGATCACCACAGCCGGGGCCCAAGACTTCCTCAAGTTCAATAGTTTGCAGACCCTAGCCCTCCCCCAGGCCCCTTACTGTGGGCAAAAATGCTTCCTGTGTCAGCGGGCACCAGGGGCCTTCCAGAGTTCTTAGGGACAGCCTGAGGCCAGGAGGGGATTGTGGGTACTTGGTGGGGGGGGCGGGGATTGAGGCCAACCTCTGTGCAGCTCTCCGTGTGTGTGTGGCGGGGGAGAGATAGAGTTCCTCTAGGTGTCAGAGACTAGGTACAGACCCCAGGGAGGTCTAGCTGACCTGTATGATCTCAAGCCAGCCTTCCCACTGCCCCATGCCTCAGTCTCCCCCCCCCCCCCACACGCAGAACAGGGTACTTAGACTTCCACTGGCTTGAGGAGCCCCCCTGGCTGGGGGTCTTGGCTCCACCATGGGCCCCTCCCACCCCACTGCAGTTGGGTCTTGTTCCACTTGAGGAGACTCTGCTATGCCTGGAGACAAGGGTGGGATGAAGTGGAAGCCCTTTGATCCACGGGCCTCCTCGGGGGACGTGGAGGGGCTGAGCGGATGCCACAGCAGCCTTCATTCACACCTACCCCAGATGTTCCAGGCCAAATCCTATTGAGCAAATCCCATTAGAGGAAAAGCTCCGGGTGCCCAAGGACCACGATGAGAACGTTTCTGAGCTGTCTGTTTCTAAGCAGGGTCCAGGGCCTTCAGAGCCGCCCACTGGGCCCCACACAGGCCCCTTCTGAAGAAGCACCCCAGGGGGCCCCAGGGCTTCCCTTCACCACACTGACCTTCTTGCTGGATGTCTTCCTACCCCAGGGCCTTTGCACTTGTGGCTTCCCCTGCCCCAAAAGCTTTTCTGCTTGTGGACCCATGACTGGTTCTTTTTGGACTTGTTGACTCTCTCTTTCTCTCTCTCTCTGGCCTAACTCCCTCCTCATGCCAGCCCCGTCTATTTTTCCTCTATGGCACTTACCAGTCCCAGAAATCACATTCTTTATCTGTTGGTTCGTATTAGCTAGTTATTTGTCTTCATTTCTACTAAATAGAAAGCTCTAGGAAGGCAGGGGATTGTTGTCTGGCTGTGTCTGGCAGTAGTAAGTGTACAATACCATAAGGCAAACATCCATGACAGAAGGGCTTAGGTGTGCCAGCCTCCTCCTTGAGAGCCGACAGCAAGCAAACCAGGGGTGGGAGGCAGATCAACCCGGCCCACAACTGCTTGCTCGCAGACCTGCCACAAGGTCTGGGGGAGCCATGGCCCTTTGTGGGCCTCAGTCTCTTCTGAGAAATGGGCACCATGGCTCTACCTCCTCTGTGTACCTCTGCAAGGCTGCTGTTTCCTGGCTTCACCTGGGCTCTGAGCAAAACCATGGCACAAAGCTCCTCGTGGCCTCTCGGCCGCCTCTTGAATTGGGAATGGCCATTCCCATTTCACAGAGGGAAGAGACCTCGCTCTCTCACGTCTCTGCCTGACCTGTCCTCCGACCTTGGTGCTCAGGACAGGGACAGAGCAGAAGGGTAAAGTGAAGGTAAACAGGGTCTGGCTGGGGCCCTTCTTTAAAGCCTGCATCCTGCCGTCTCTCAGAGGCAGCTGGGAGTCAATTGACAAGGTCTCTGCCTTCCTGTTCCTGCACTTCCTTTATAGACTTCCACGGCCTGAGCTGTCCTCACACAGACTCAGCTCTGTGTCTTGATGGTCTTTGCTTCTGTGTGTGTGTGTGCAGGGGGATGGAGGGGTCCTGAGGCTTGAACTCAGGGCCTGAGCTCTGTCCCTTACCTTTTATGCTCAAAGCCAGCACTCTACCACTTTGAGCCACAGCACTACCTCCGGTTTTCTGGTGTGGTTAATTGAGGATAAGAGTCCCACAGACTTTTCTGTCCAGGCTGGCTTTGAACCGTGATCCTCAAATCTCAGCCTCCTGAGTAGTTAGGATTACAGGTGTAAGCAGCCAGCGCCCAGCTGGTCTTTGCTTCTTGCTTATCTGACTAGACACTACCTTCCTCTTCTCCTTACCCAGAGCAGGGCCCGGGAATGCTTCCTCTCCTTTTCAAAGTCTCAGAGCTCAGAGCCCAAGGCCTGGGGCAGGAAATGGTTGTTGAATGAACAAGCAAACACCCTGCTGTCCCAACAGTAGGTGTCCACACTGTGTCTCAGGAGACAGCCTCACCTGGCGGAGTTCCTGCACAGTGAACCATGCCAAGGCGGGGAAGGGAGGTGGTCACAGAGGCTGAGGGCTGGCAGAGTCACAGAACAGCAACCGGGAAAGGACTTAGAGGACTGGCCGTGTGTTTTGCTGGAGTAGGAACAGGAGCTAGAGACCCAGAGAAGTTGAAAGTGAAGCAAACGCAGCACAGGGAAAGGGACTGGATCCAGAATGGATGGAGTCCTGCTTTCAGATGTGTGTTGGAAGATGGAGAATCCTCATCTAATAGGGGAGGACAGCTCCCTAACTGAGATCTCCCTGACTGATGGGAGAGGTGCCATTATCTGTGTAGTTTATACATGTACACATTCATCATCCATCTATCCATTTGTACATTTATCCATTCATCCATCCATTCATTCATCCATCCATCCACTCTCCTTCTATCCATCCATCTACCTATCCATCTACCCACCCATCCATCCATTCATCCACCCATCCAATAGATGAACTGCTGCTTATTTAGTTAGGTTTTGTTGTTATTTTGGTTTTTGGTGTCTTTCCTGGGGCTTGGACTCAGGACCTGCGTCTGATCCCTTGTTGTTGTTGTTTTGTGTGTTTTTTTGAGGCAAATTCTTTATTGTGATTAAGTGATTTCACAAATTTCACAGTATTGTGGGATAGTGAATGCTTAAAGTCACAAACACACTCTAACTCTCCTGGGGCAAATTGTCTATCTTGGTCTATACAATTTATGAGTCCTATGAGCTTTGACAGTACAGTTATTTCTTCCACATCGGGTGATATGTACGTTTCTTTCCTTCTGTATAGCATCAGCTATTCCCTCTTTCCCACTGGTTCCCTCCCTCCCATCGCTGCCATTGAGTTGCTTAGTTCATTTTGGTCAATGTCCAGTGCAGCTGATGGGTCCCACTGTTGTATGTTTTTCCCTGAATCCTTCTAGTTCTGTGTCCTCCTCCTGGTCTCCTGCCTGTGTGCACACCTTGTTTTTTTTGCTCAAGGCTGTTGTTCTACTACTTGAGCCACACCTCCATCAATAGCTTTTTGGTGCTTAATAGAGGTAAGAGCCTCATGGACTTTCCTGCTTGGGCTGGCTTCGAACCAGCATGATCAGATCTGTCTCTTGAGTAGGTAGGATTATAGATGTGAGCCACCAGCATCCAGCTTCGGTTAGTTTCTTATTCATGCATGCAGTAGCTCATTCACTAGCAAGACTCAGACTGACCCCTTGGGCCAGGACCTATGGGCAGGGAGGTGAATAAAGACCTGCCCTGACCCCTGGAGCTCTCCATGGAGAGAGGCCAGGTAGGTTAGGACTCCAGGAGAAACGCTGAAGCCCAGAGGCTGCTGTGACTTTAGACTCAGCAGGCATGGTCTCCGTGTCCAGGAGTCCCTGGGGCCCGTCCTCAGCGCCCAGTACTGACCCCATCTCTCCCACAGGTGATGAGCATCCTGAGCAACCCCAGTGCAGTGCCACCGCAGCCGCAGGCCGACTTCTCCATCTCCCCTCTGCACGGGGGACTGGACTCGGCCTCTTCCATCTCCGCCAGCTGCAGCCAGCGGGCTGACTCCATCAAGCCGGGCGACAGCCTGCCCACCTCCCAGTCCTACTGCCCACCCACCTACAGCACCACGGGCTACAGCGTGGACCCCGTGGCTGGCTACCAGTACGGCCAGTACGGACAGAGTGAGTGTCCTGCCTCCCTCCCCGCCCCCGCCCCCGGTGGGGAGCCACGGGTGGGGGCGGGGTGGGGAAGTGGGGGCGCCCTTCCCCTACACGATAAGAACATCGCTACTATAAGATGTTACTGTGCTGCGTAGCAAATCCAAGCCCGGCATCCGGGCTCCTGAGGGGATCTAAATCCAAACCAGTCGTAACCCGTAGCCACATTTGACACGTTGAGAAGAAAGTGGTAGGATTGTTTCGACCAACATATCGATGGGTCAGAAAAATGATCCTTTCAGCCAGCAATCCATGTGAGATGGCGAGAGCAAGCCGGTGGCCCGCGCGTCCCTCCCCAAGCTACCTTCCACCCCCAGCAGGCGTCCCCCCCCAGGGCCGGTTTTCACGCACACACGAAGTTTCCATCAGCAACGCCCCCGTCTGTGTTTACATTTCATCGCTCACAGCTGAGGTCGTGATTTACACACCCAAGTTGCTCCAAATAGACTTCGAAGTTTTCCAACCATGAAACAACTAAATCGAAGATCCGTTTTTACATTTAAATTAGATAAAACTAAATAAACATCTGAAATTCAACTCCCCCACTTACAGTAGGCACAGATCGAGTGTTCCCGCAGGGACCGCGTGGCGGAGGACCCTGCTGCCCGCAGGCCTGGGGGGGGGGGGGGAGGAGGCTGTGTCTGCAGTTCTGGCCCCCATCCCACCCCCTCAGCCTTGGTTTCCCCAGAAGGCCAAGGTCCTACAGTGCCTCCCTCCCCCCCCTCCCCCAGCTGCCATCCCCTGGTTCCTTGACTGGAAGCTGCAACAGGGGATCCTCAGACCAAAGGCTGGGAAGGGCAGGCCAGGCTGCCACCTCGGGCTGCTTGGGAATGGGGCTGCAGCAGGGCAGACCTGGGCAGGACAGGGGTCACTGGGCTCCAGTCCTGCCCCACCTGCTGGTGTCAAACTAATCAGAAGGCGTGTTGGGGAGACCCCCCCCCCACGCCCCCAGGGAGTCCTCTTCTCTAGCCACTGCCTGGCCCAGTCACTGAACTCTGCTTCCTGTAGCCACAGCCCCCTCGGACTCCCATAGCTTGCCTAAATGAAGGACAGCTGTGCAGGTCTCGACCTTCTGTGTGTCCACACCGTGTGTGAGTGTGTGTGTGTGTGTGTGTGTGTGTGTGTGTGTGTGTGTGTGTGTGTGTTGTGATGTGTCATTTCAACACCCAAGTAGAATGCATTGCAGGCAGGGGTGTGGGTGGGTATGTCCATCGTGTGTGCATATTAACAGCTCTTTGCACACCTGGCATGCATCTGAGCGTGTGCCCGAAGTCACATACCCACCCAGATGTGAGTAACACAGGATGCCACCAGGGGTGGGCATCTGGGCTCATGCCTGTGGCATCATCATGGTATGAGGAGCCTGTATGCACATGCACAGGTGTGTAGGAGTGTGCTGAGGTGTGCTGCTGTGCACACACCTGTGTAGATGTGGATCCGGTGTGTGTGCCTGCTTGTGCAGGTGGCCCACGGCTGTGTGGGTTTGCGTGGAATGTCGGCATGTCTGTGTGTGTGTGTGTGTCTGTATGTGTGCGCACCGAGAGCATGTGTCTGTGGGCACGCTTGGGCGTGGGGGGCACTTGTGAGCACACTTCCAGAGGGCCCCCAGCGACCCCCTGACCCTGGGCTTGTTCCCTGCACAGCGGGCGTGGGGCACACATGCTCTAGATAAAGATTTGAGAGGGAGCGCAGGGCCCCCGGCTGGCGTTAGTCACACCCGGAGCCTGTGCCCTGCTCCGAGGGCGCCTGCCCAATTCGGAAATAAAATTAACCCCAAAGTCAGCCTGGGGGCGGTGGGGGAGGGGATCAAAAGAGAAGGAGCCCAGGAGGCGAGAAAGGAGGGGCCTGGTCTTCCCAGGGAAGGAAGTAGGGAGACATTCCTCTCCCTCACTGAGCCTTTCTCCTCCCTCCTCCCCTCCCTCAGCCCTCCCCCCCACACCCTTGCCCCTCCTTCTTCCACTCCCCTCAGTTCCCAAAGGGAACCCCACACCCCACCCAACCCACCCCTCTGAGTCCGGGCCTGGGCTCCAGTCTGTCACCTGAGAGGCTCAAGCCCCTGGGCACTGGACACACCTGGGCTGTCTCCCCCTACTTCCATCCTGACCTTCCCCATGCATTTGCCCCGCCCAGGTCCACGGCTTGCACCCCTCCTGTGAATGCATTCAGCACGGGGTGAGACGTGTGCCCTTCATCCAACTAGTTTCTTAAAGTTATTTATTTATAACCTAGGCTCAGAGAGGATGTGTAGCTTTCCTTAGCTGGCACAGCATGGGAGAAATGAATTGAGAGCCTCAGCTTCCAACCACTGCTGCGTAGACACTCAGCCCCTGCCTGGGCCTGGGTTTATTCTCCCAAGCTTCCACAAGGGGACAGGTGCCCCCTGAGAGAGAGCACCACTACATAGGTGTATACACACAAAGACACCAAGAATACATGCCCAAAGAAAGGAAAGACTGTTTAGTGAGCATCTACTATAGGCCACCCACCATCCCAGAGGCTGTTCTGTGCCGTGTGCACCGAAAGGCAATGACATCCCGAGAGATTCTTCACCCAGGGCCACTCAGCCATAGGATATGGAAGTGTGCACAGCAGCACCTGTCTCCTGTCCCCAGGGGATCTCTTACACAGCAATCTTCCTCTCCATGTTTCTCTCCCATTTCCAGGGACATCCTTCTTCCTACCTTTCTCCAGCTCCAGTCACTGTCCATCTGTCTGTCGCTCCCCATCCCCTTGGGGATGGGGAGGGGGCAGAAGGCCAGGGATGGGGCACATGGCAGATTAATACGGTCCTGGCGCTCCCAGAGGCCAGGGCCGTACTAATGATGGGGCTGATAGAACGCAGAAGTGTGAAAAGAATTTTAATAGATCTGACAAGTCTAATAAGAATTTGTGTCTGGAAGGGTCCTCCTCTGGGGCCGCAGGCTGCCGAGGCTCTGACGGCTGAGGTTTGTTTACTGGTTGGCATCACCGCATCTCCTGCCAACTGCTGATTAATCTAATTTGAGACGTTGAGAGCTCAGGCAGAGGCACAAGGCAGAGGACACGAGACACGGAGGGACAGAGGGACAAGGAAAGCTAGTGACAGAGGTCCTGATGAGAAACGTCACAGCCCTGCCCTCACCTGCCTCAGCTCCACCCCACCGAAGGACAGGCTCTGCAGCCTGCTGGTTGTCCTGGGTCATCAGAAAAGTTTGGTCTCTTGGTGTCTCTTGTCCACCTGCACGAGGGGGCCAGACAAGCCCCTACTATGTGCTATGGGGTTTAGACAAGCTCCTACTGTGTGCTGGGCTGCAGAAGGTAAACTTGGAAGACAAAAGAGGGAACACCCAGAGTGGCCAGAGGCACATAAAGGGCCAATTCAGCCTCCTCTGTGTCATGCACCGTGTTTAACTCCGCACCAGCCATTGTCCCATGCCTCAGTGTCCTCATTTCCCAAGTGGAAACAATTGTACCTAAAGCGAAGAACAAAGGGGCAGTGACAGAATGAAACGGGATCACGTCCGACTGCCTAGCACCTACTCCGTGCTTGCCTAGCGAGGGTGCTTACTTCACAGTGGACAGAGCACTTGGGTTAACCCAGCCATGTGTCATCAGAGTCCAGCACAAAGTAGCTCCAAGGCCACCTGTGGGTGGGGCTGGTAAGGAGGTGTCTGGGTGGAGCAGGGTGAGATGGGCAGCAGCCTTCGTGGGCTTGGGGAAGGTCACCTGAGCCTGGGCACATCCCTGGTACTACCCAGGGGGGGTGGAACTTGGCAGAGCTCTCATACTCCTAGGCTGCAAGGGACTGTGGGAAAAGCCTGGGAGCCCTTGAGCACCCAGATGCACTAGGGCCGCGTGATGCTGTCCCACTGTGCGCGGTGCAGTCCCACTGTGCGCGGTGCAGTCTCTCCTGTCACTCCCCTACCCCTGCCTTTGAGCTGTTGAACACCCAAAACTCCATGCTGCAAGTGCCCTCCAGCCCAGGGCCAGCTCTTCCTCCGCCTGTCACCACCCTGAGAGAGGGGGCCCTCCTAACTGGAGGGGAGAGGGTACTCCGGGAAGAGAGAGGCATAGCCAAGGCTGCAGGGTCTTTTCCAGGCCCCAGATAAGAATCTCATTCTCCGTTGCCAGCAGGGCATGGCTGGCCACCTCTGCTGTATAGCTGGGGAACTTGGGGACATGTAACTTCAGCAGGACGCTGGCAGCCCAGACTGCCTTTCCTTCCCATTCTGGTAGAAGAGAGTTAACACTCTAAAGAGACTTGGGACATTTGCATGACCTTTAGCACATGGGAGCCTTGCCCGGGGCCTCTGTGACCAGTGTCTCAAAGAGCATTTTCTCATACGATCCTCATGGCTGTGGGTTACACAGCTGGACACTGGTTCTTCCACGTCCCCTCTTCTGCAGCAGGGAGACAAGCTTAGAGGGGGAAAGTGGCCCCTAAGTCACACAAGAAGGTGGCTGTCCCCACCGAAGATCACATCAGTTTACCACACCCCAGCCCTGGGACCCCGCTGCATTTGAACCCACATCCTTCTCATACACCAAGTGGCAGGTTTAGTGCTAACCACTGACACAAACATCACCCCGTCCTCCAGCACAGCTCTTTTCCCTCAGTGCCTTGACTTCCCTTTTGCAAACCAGGAAATCAAGGCTCAGTTTGGGGAGGTGGTATCCCCTACATCACATGCCAAGAGGTGGCAGATGCAGGATTTGACTCCGGATAATTGGAAACCCTAGACAATGTGGCCTCTCCAGGCTCAATTGTTGGTATTGCCCAGTGAGCCTCCCTGGCCTGGCCCTTGGGACATGTCTGTCACCTCCCAGTTCTACCCATTTACAAGGTGCCAGGTGGGGTAGGGGATAGAGCAGATGCTGGCCATCCCAGAGACGCTTTGTGGAGAGATCTTTCCGTTCGCCACTCCCTTTCCAGGTCCCGGAGGTCCTGAGGGCCCAGGGGGGTAGGGAGGGTGTGGACAGGCCGCCGCTGTGAGCCCAGCACGGAAGGCAGCATCTCTGTGTCTCATTGGTCACAAACTATCCAGTCACTTGGTCAGGGTGACTTCTGCTGTAGCTTCTGAGGAGTCAAAACACATGTGCATGCTAGTGGGTGTCATAGCTGCAACCAGGCAGACGGATGCAGACACCCAGCCCGGGGAGCTCACACCGTGCACAGAGCCCGTCCATGCATCCGTGCACAGGCATGCCACTGTGCCTCTGTGCACGGAAGAGCCCGTGACTCACTCACACCCATGTGTAAACGTACACCTGCAAGATTGCTCTGTGAACATTTGTACACATGCCCACTACCACTTCATGGTGATTTGTTTTCACTGTATGCTGCGATCACTTGCACACACACGCGCGCACGCACGCGCGCGCACCCTCAGATGCTCATCTGTCTCTCTCTGTAGGTCTCAACTTCCTGCTCCTCCTTCTCTGTGCCCTCCTCTGCTCACTCAGAATGGCTCCTTTGCTTTGGGGGCAACAGTCTGGCTTTGCTTCATCTATGAGTTCAGGTCAGGGGTAAGAGGAGGCAAAATGGCCTGGTCCTCATAGTCACCTGGACTCAGTGGGGGCTCATTGGCTCTCTCCTGTAGATGGACTATGTAGTGTGCTTGCTAGAAGGCAGGACTGCTTTTTCCCTGGACACTATAGGGACCTTTCTGTACTTCCTATAGAACCAGTGAGAGAACTGGCTGATGGCACGTGTTAAGTAAGTAACTGTTGAATGATTAGAGATGAAGTGAGGGAAAGAGCTTCATGAAGAGGAAGGAGAGAGGGAGTAACAGAGGGATGGAAGGAGGAAGGAAGTGAGGGTAGGAAGGAAGGAAGAGCAAGTGGATGGATGGATGGATGGATGGATGGATGGATGGATGGATGGATGGATCAATGAGCAGATGGATGGATGGACAGATGGATGGATAGGGAGATAGATGGGTGGATCAATAGGAAGATAGATGGATGGATGGACAGATGGGGAGATGGATGGGTGGATAAGTGGATGAGTGGCCAATAGGCAGATGGATGGATGGAAAGATGGCTAGATAGGAAGATGAATGGGTAGATAGATGGATCAATACGCAGATGGATGGATGGATAGGTCAATGGGAAGATGAATGGATGGATGGACAGATGGACAGACAGATAAAGGGATGGATGGATGGAAAGATGGATAGATAGGAAGATGAATGGATAGATAAATGAATCAATAGGTGAATGAATAGATGGACAGACAGATGAATGGATGGGCAGATGGATGGATGGATAGATGGGTAGATCAATGGGCAGATGAATGGATGGATGGATGGAGTGACAGACAGATGAGGAGATGGATGGGTGGATAAATGGATGGATGGCCAGTAGGAAGATGGATGGATAGAAAGATGGATAGACAGGAAGATGAATGGGTAGATAGATGGATCAATAGGCAGATTAATGGATGAACAAGCAGGTGGATGGACAGATGTATGGAGGATGGATGAAAATTGGAAGAACAGACAAAAAGAATCTCAATTTCTAGACATTTTTTTTCTCTTCTTTCCAGCTGCTGTTGATTACTTGGCCAAAAACGTGAGCCTGTCCACACAGCGTCGCATGAAGCTCGGGGAGCACTCTGCTGTGCTGGGACTGCTGCCTGTAGAAACTGGCCAAGCCTATTAAGGCCCTGGGTCAATTTTCCCTAGCCTAAACCCCGGCCCAACCCTTCCTGACCCCTAAGTCTCCAAGCCTCCATCCCTTCAGACTCCTGAGGTCACAGAAGGCCAGGAAAGGAGTCCACTCTCTTCTCATTAGTAGCCCCCTGGAGATGCATGGCCAGTACATCCTTCACCTGTGGTTAAGAGTCCCAAAGGAACTCTGAAGTCCACCCTTCCTCTGTCTCTGGCCAACCTGCAGTGCTCCCCAGCAAAATCCACTGTGGACTCAATGCTGTCTCCGCAGGGAAACAGAGGCTCACCCTGAACAGTGAGTGCATCTTGGGACCCAGAGCACAGTGCCTGAGATGAGGTCCTGGCACCTTTCGCATCTGAGTCCCAGGGTGGCCTGGCCAGAGGTGCAGGTGAAGCTCAGAAGCATTCTCAGCTGCCAGCGCTGGAGCTGCTGTCCTGCCAGGGGCCTCTGGCTCAGCCTCTTCCTCCTCTGGTCACTGGGACTCTGTCAGATAAGGTTCCCTCCTCCCTGGGGGCAATCTTGGCTCCACCCAGGACTTCAGAGGACTTCCAGATCCTCCCCTCACACTCCTGCTGGGTGTCAGGAAACCTAGCCCTAGTAAGGAGATGGGGGAAGAGCAGGAAAAGACTCTATCAGGGGCTGCAGGTAGGGGGAGCTGTCAACCCCAGGCTGGCCCAGGGTACGAGAACCTCCAGCCCCCAGGAAGTAGGAGGCTCTTCAGCTGATGCCCGATTTTAAGCTTGCCCACTGCATCACCACCTGGGATGCAGGCTGGAACTTCTGGTTTCCTCAGGACAAGAAGAGAAGTCTTGAGATTCACAAGAATGAAGAGGCCCAAGATGGGCCCAGAAAGCCTTCCATAACCAGGATTCCTTGACTCCTGAGCCATCAGCCCTTCCAGCCAGAGCCTTCCGCTCTCAGCTTGCCAGCCCACACCCCAGGAGTTGAGCTTGCACATGCTGCCTCCCTCTGAGATGCCAGTTCTCTAAGAGAGGACTCATCCCCCACCCCCCCGTGGACTAGTCCCCCACACTGAGATGCCTACAGAGCTCTGGACCAGGGTCCTGGGAACAGGGTGGGATTGCTCTCCCCCTAGCTAACATGACCATTCCCCTTGGTGTTCAGATGGGGGCTATGTCCCTGATCCCCACAACATTGCCTGGCTCCTGGCCAGTCAAGAGGCCTCTGTTTCTTGATCCCTCACAGTTGATCTAGGACACATGTGGCCACCACCCCTGGGCAAAAGAAGACACAAAAGGTTCTATTAAAAAAAAGGGGGGGCACATAAAGGCACCTTGAGCCTCCAAGGACTTCCTCAAACCTACTCTCTTCAAGAGATAGGACCTTTGGGGGATGGTTGAGACCCCTGATTCTCTTCTCCCCAAAAACTCTCCACCACCTCCATCTGTTTGTGCAAGTTAATATACATCTTTACCCTCTCCATCACTGCAGCCTAAGAGACACAACACAAAACCCAGCCACAGAGGACCCAACCGCTGCTCCCCGCCCTGTATACACACGAGGCCACTGATATGTTCAAGTCATGCCTCTTGCCCTCAGACAGCAAGACATTCAGAGAGGAAAGAGGCTGTTGCTTTGGCTTTCCAGAGTTCCTTCCTCCTAAGGAGCCAGCTAGACAAGATGCTAAGACATGAACCTGTGTGACGAGTGCCCACCTGTTTCTCATCTTCAGACCGGGTCTATCAAGACTGTCCTGGGCCATGACCAGGATGGCTCCTAACTGTGGCTTAAAAGGAATTTATTAATAACCAGGGGCAAACAGACTCTTGGGTAGCAGTGGGCACCAGACAGATGGCTTTCAATGGAGCATCACTCGAGAGACTTTGGGTTCTTCAAGCTCTGGACAAAAGGGAAGAGGGTGGTGTTGTCCCTTGGAAACTGAGTCCCTCCTCACCCCACCCCTCCCACCACCTTGGTAGCTCTCACAGCTAGGAAGCCATCCATAGGAGACCAACCATACCTTCATCCACATTCCTTGAACGGTCAGTTCTTTTCCCCTTAAAAGCCAGGCTCAAAACCTGCCTGAGTGACTCAGGCAGGTGACCTCAAAACTGCTAAGCCTCATCCCAGGAGGCAGCATTCCAAGGCTAGGACCAACCTCAGTCATCTACCCCTATGGTGGAATGAAAACTAGTAAGACCTGCTTGGGAACAAACCAAATGCTTTCTCCTTATGTCCAGCACATCTGCAGTTCTCCCGAGCTACCATCTTGGCACAAAACGGAACTTGCTTTCTGAAGGGCCCTCGACTCCAATCCATTTTCCCTAGTACCCCATGTATTCATGTACCTCACCAACAGAATATAAAATTCAATCTTGTGTTGGCAGCTGACAACTCCAGGAAACAGAATGTTGGTTGGACAAGAGGTACCAGGTCCGTATCTCTTTGGGGTTGACCGTAGCCTAGAAAAAGGCCTGAATTCCCATGGCCAGGTCAGCCCTAGAAATCACTTCCTCAATACCTGTAAATAGAGCCCATAACAAGATAAGAGACATCATCTCCAACAATTTATCCCTAGTAGCTACTGGTCCTGTCCATGGGGGCCCTTCTTCTGAGCTCATTGTACATTAGTTGGCAATGTGGTGATGTGCTGTTTGTTTATAGGAAGTTGACTTTTTACATATAAATATATATATATATGCTTTAAAAAAAAAAAAAGGGAAAGAAAACCCTCACAGTGTGTGTCGTGCTAGTGCCAGGGGACCATCTGTAGGGATATATCTGCATATCGTGTGTTTCAAATTATACATTCCGGGCTTTTTGTTTTTGTCATGTTGTCTTTTCAGTTGGTATTTTTCTCCCTTGCTATGAAGAAAAAGAAGTGATGTGTCGAGAACCAAGCTCTGCTTTTATACTGTTATCATTATTATTGTTGTTATTTTTAATTCTCCTTTGCTGCCCTTTTTGCCAGAGAAACAGAGAAATGGGGGGAGTAAGAGAGAAGGAGAGAAGGATCAGGAGAGAAGTTGGCCCAAAAGACAAATGAAAAGTCAAATTTCTAGTCTGGTGGTGGCTGGAGAATAGGACAGATTCCAGAGGTGGACTGTTCCACCCAACGTGGGTGCCATTTTGTATAGAACTGGCAGAACATTCTGAGATTGGAACACTGGATCTGAGTGCAAAGTCCCACAAGCACTATCATAGAAGACTTTCTCATCAGGCCCCCAAATATATCTTTTTCTAATGGATACTTTTAGGGTACACAGATCTTCTCTCCTTCTCTCCTATAGAAGCAACAGCTCAGACCAAAATGGGGGTACTCAGGCCACCATCTTGAAATGCTCCAAGACATCTCTGTATTTAGTGTTTTCTCCTGTCAACTCTGATACAGCCAACTCCCCAACAGGGGAAAAGATCCACATTGTGCTCTAGAACATTCCTTCTTCCAAGTAAGCACCATGTTGTTGCTTCCGCGTTTCACTCTCAGCCATTTTCCTCCAGGCGGAAGCGAGTGTGCATGTGTGTGTGCGTGGGTGTGTGTATTTGTGCGTGGGTGTGGGTGTGAGTGGGACATGCGTGTGCACGGGACATGCGTGTGTACATGTGGGCGTGGGTTTAAATATAATCGCACCATAATTTATTCAGCTATAATGGAGTCGTAGACTAGAAAAGAGAAACTGGTATTTGCTTTAACTACCTGCTGCTTGTAAGCGCTGCCTCTGTAACTCAGGCGTTAACTGTTATACATTAAAAGAAATTAAAAAGCATTTTGAAGGTTCCGCGTACTCCATCAATTGTTGTGTGGCTGGGGACTGGGGAGGGGGTCCCTCTAATTCAGAGGATCAGCATAGGAGCTATTTTCCCTTGTACGCACCGCACTCCCTCACCCCCTCCAGTGCCAGGCAACTGTAGCATACAGGGGTGCTTTATCTCAAATTACTACTCTTGGATCACCAGATTGTGGTTGGTCATGGAACCCCTCTCAGAGTTCAGAGGAACAAGCATAGGGGCAGACGGGGGGCGGGGGGTAACACTAGAACACACCACACCTGCTGTTAATGTTGAGAACCTTCTGTGTACCCAGGCTCGGGGAGAAACTTCCCTCCTGCCTCCTCCCTCAGAACCTGATGTGGGGACTCTTGGACAGGCAAATTATTGATGGAAAACATTCTGGAGAAATCTAGAAAGGAGTCATGAAGCCCAAAGGGGAGTAGGGGGAGAAGTGAAGCAAAGAGGTAGGTTTACCTGAGTCCAGCTACCACCAAGGAGTCTGGGTGTGCCCTATGGCACTGCAGCCCAGGGAGCTGGCCTTGAGTGCCCCACCAGTCACGGCTGGCTGTCTCGGATGAGGGGGTGGAGGCAGGTGGGTAGAAGGTTCATCTGCCGAACATCTTCAGTTCATCTCACAGCGGTGAGACCTTACCAGCAATATGTGTTTCGTTTTGAAGACAAGTTCACTGTCCCAGTAAGGGGACTGAGCAGGGTCCAGCAGTGTCCACACTACCATGTCCCCTGGCCCTAAACTGGGACCTCTGTGCAATGCCACAGTGCTCCTTTCCTGGGATGATCTTCTGCACAGAAAGAGGTGGGGTGGGAGAGCATCTGGGGGAAGACAGTGTATGTGAAGAATGAGTAGAGCCGGGCACTGGTGGCTCGTGCCTGCAACCCTAGCTACTCAGGAGGCTGAGATCCAGAAGGTTACGGTTCAAAGCCATTCCAAGTGGAAAAGTCCTTGAAACTCTGTTCCTAAAAGTACCCAGGTTAGAGGCATGGTTCAAGTGGCAGAGCACCAGCTGAGCAAATGAGCCCAGGAAGCCTGAGGTCTTGAGTTCAAACCCTGATGTCTGAAGAAAAACAAACATTGGTGAGGTGTTCCTTGCTGACCTGAGCCTCGCCGGCAGCCTAGGCTCTCCAGTGCAGGACCTGGAGGAAGGCCAGGTTATCCCAAGGCCTGAGACCAGCAGGGTACTGCCCCAGAACCAACCTCCCTACAGTCTGTGCAGGGCCACGAGCCCTATACTGTCTGCCAG